CTCTTCTTCTTTACATTCTTTCTTTCAACCTTTTTTCTTTTTTTCTCATTTTCTTTTTCTTTATATCTTCCTTCCTGTCTTTTTTCTTCTTCATTTCTTTCTTCGTTTCTTTCTTTCTTTCTTCGTTTCTTTCTTTCTTTCTTTTTTTCGTTGTCTTCATTAATTCATTTACTTACCTTATTTATTTATTTATTTATTTATTTCGTTTTATTTATTCATTCATTCTCACCCCCCCCCCCCCTTCATTCTTCATAGGTATATCGATAAATTTGCCCTTCACCTCCGTCGAGTTACCAGTACGTTGCCTGGCAACGAACTGTTAATGCGATGTTCGTCGTCAGCGTGCATTTCTCCACTGGGTAGCCTCCGCCGCGATCGATAGCACTGCGGCTTCGCGATGGTAATAGTCCCCAGGCGATAGAACTGATCAATGGAACAGTCAAAGGCATTTATTGACGCTTTTCAATAACACGTGTATGATCAGACAATACTTAGTGAAAGACATAATTGTCATTTGAGGTTTGTACAACTCGCGTGAAGCACCCCGCAAAGTAAACGTCACAATAGAAAAACGAGGTTTGTTTTTGGTCAGTTTAATAAGTGGTATATACTCATGATAACTGGTGCTGGAATGCGGGTTAGAGAATGAGAGAGAAAGAGAGAGAGAGAGAGAGAGAGAAAGGGGGAGAGAGAAGGGGAGACAGAGAGAGAGAGATAGAGAGAGAGAGAGATAGAGAGAGAGAGAGAGATAGAGAGAGAGAGAGAGAGAGAGAGGGGGGGGGGGGAGAGCATGAAGAGAAACAAGGGGTTTTGCTCGAGATTAACATTTCGTCACGTCACATCCCAAACAATTTACATCAAGTCTGCTCATTCCATCACGTCCACATCTTCTGCAGTCTGTAAAACCCCCCTACCATCAACATAGCAACCACATCCATGCTAATGGGGGCAGGATACCACCCCTTCCTTTAACCTTTCACCCCTATGGCCCCCCTCACCCGATACCAGACACCGGCGTCGCACCCCTCTGCTCACCTACCGTGTAGAGTTTTTCTTACCCCTTCGTATCGGATCAATCCTTCTTTTGTTACCCCTCGAGTCAGGAGCTAGTTCCTCATTAAATATTGATAATGATTGGAGAATGAGGTGGGAGAGGAAACAACACCGGTCATATCGACCCCCGCGTGGAGCTTCGAATAATTAATGCAACAAGAAGTCACGTACTTTTATATCAGTAGTCTATACTCTTTGGTTGCTACGGAAGGAATATAGCAATAATCCCTCTATCGTAACCCTACCAAAATGGCGCCTTGTGGCTGTATTGGATATACAATTACTGCTTTTCTCGTAAGATGACAGGATATTGATAAATCACCATGGCAACGAGAATTCCTTCGGAAGGAAGGTAATGATCATTTTATTTGTTTGGAGTATGATTGTGAAGTGGGTTATATTGCGGCTGAGTGAGGCGCCGGTTGAGCGAGAGGGCATGGGGTGAAACCCGTGGGGGTCGCGCCGGTTGATCCATGGAACATTCCGATTGAACACAACTTGGAAAAAGAAAAACAAAAGGGAAAGAAAATGCTGTATTATGATCGATATTATTCAATATGTTACACATTAATAAATCTAGAAATAATCGAAGAAAGAACATGATTGGTATGGTCAGTCAACTATTGAGACCAATTTCATATCATGAAGTGAGTAATATCTGGCAGGATAAACGTTGTGTATCCATTATATTTATTTCCAATAAAATTATGAATAAGAACAAAGTTATACAACGACAAGAATTAATAAAGATAGGCAATGTTTGAACAAATATACCAGCTTGTATTATAATAAAACAAAAGACCAAAAGCAAACAAACAAGCAAAACAATCATAGACAAGCGGAAAAATAAACAAAAAAAGAATAAAAGAACTTTGTTCATAGAAAGCAGGAAAATAAAAGCTATTCCGGCAAATGTTATTTTCGAACAAGTTAGTTGTCGAAAACTAAAATGTTACTATTCCGTTAGGGAAAATGTATTTCCTTTTTATATTGAAACATATTAATATAATATTATATACTTTAGGCCATGTGATTAATTCTGTTTATGATACAAATATGAAAGGCATCGCGTTGAAATTGTGAACGTTTTAGTAAATGATGTATACTCAGTTTAAACAACAAATGATTATACAAAGTTTGTATAATGGTTAGATGCATGGACATTTCTTGAAAGGGGACATATTTTGCCCAAATTAGTCAAAAACTTTTTCCATTATTTAACATATCATATATCTGAATGATTATATGTTTATCTAGAATAAATATTTGTCGAGTTTATCCATCCGATATTAAATTTTCTTTCATTGGACATTTTCTACAATATTCATTTTAATTTTGTTTAAATTACATGTTACTAGGGCGTGAGAACTCCTTCTAACTAATATCTCAGTCACATCGCCAAACCGACTTCTGACCGACTCCAAGCCGACCGATTCTGGGCCATAGACGTAATGTATCATTTCCGTTCAATGTCGTGTCTGTCTGGTGTCGGTCTTGTCGATGTGACTAGGGTTTTAACATGATTTTTTGGGGTCTACCCCCTCCAACGCCGAGATATTCAGGCGCCACTCTGAAATAAAAAAAAAATTAGTGAAAAAGTTGAGTCTCATGACGTGGACTGTAAAATGTTACGGAATATTTGTTCTTGTTTAATCTTTCCTGTGTGTTCTTCTTTACATACAAAAACAGGCTCATTAGGTATCAAATAAGATTTTAAGAGATTTTAATTTTAATGAAAGAACATTGGTGCATGGCAAACTAATTCATTGTATCATAAATGTGTTCAATTAAATACGGTGGAGTTTTGTCTTGAGTGATTCATCAACCGTATTCATTCTTTTAAAACTATTTCTTGTATACTCATCTTGCTATAGTTTGAACTTGGTATGAGTTACGACAGTGATGAAACAACTTCCTCGTTCTTTTAATTTATATATAATTTATTTCTAATCTTTTGACAAGGTAGCCCATTCACCAATAAGTAGTAGTTTTCCATGGGGCCCTGAATAAACATGAACATATTTACATCAAAAAGCATAACGTTTATACAGAACAGTTAAAAAATAATACTCGTTTGCAAAGTAGACATATATCATTAACCTAGTTCAACAGTAATGTCAATAGGAAAATATTGATTAAGTCGCAATTATGTGAATAAGTCATGTTAATATTACAAAAGATGCACGTAGTGTATGTTCGACTGAGCCATTTACAAATTACAACTTTGTTTAAACAATCTCTTAAATGAATTGACAGAGGAAGACTTTCTCATCGAATTATCTAGCTTATTCCATTCAAAAATGGAAGAAACAATGGGGCTACACTTATAACAATCAGTATGAAATCTAGGCACACATAAACACCCACTGTCTATTTGCCTTGTATGATGCTCATGTACATCATTAGGATTGATTAAGCCTACCTGAAGGTAAGAAGGTGCTAAGTTATGAACGCATTTATATATCATCATAACGCGACTTAACTCAAACCGCTTGTCTAGTGTCATCCATTTAAGACTTGTGAACAAATCAGCCGACGGTGTGTCATATATGTCTTTGTCAATATTATAAGAGATTTTCATTTTACACAAAATGTTATTATACACAAGTTTGGTATAAGTTTCTTGTTTAATACTAGGAGATCTTTTCGTAGAACTCGAGTATCATACAATGAAATATTATGAAATGATATTCAGGTTGCGGAGAAATTAAAGCTTTCATACTCAACATCATTTTGAAGAGCCCCGGGACTAAGAACACACAGTAAATTGTTACTATGTGCATATCACTTCGTGTACAGTTATGCGTTAATATGTAGGCATTTTAGTCATATTGTACAATTCTTTAATAGCGAAGGAGCCGGAAAACTTTCAAATGTATTTCCCCGGCTTCGGTGAGGCCTTCCGAAAATTTTAAACTAATGGTTAAAAGAAAAATGAAATTTTATGATACCAGGTTGAATGATACATGCTTTAATATCAACAACAACAAAAAAAAAACTTAGCGTATAGTTTCCACTTCTTTAGAATTTGAATTTGACTTTTTAATTTTTTTTTTACTACATGTATCTATTGTTAACATGGTTATAATTAAGATTATAAAAGGTATTGCGAGCAATGTTATTTATTACCACCTCTCTATCATGTTTCTGAAGGGGCATGTATTAGTACACATTAGTTGTGTTATTATTTTTTATTGTAATTGTGACATTTGTACTCAATTGTCTTCGTTACACTTGAATTTGAATTTTGTTATCCTGTGTTTTAAAACATGAGAGTGATCCTATTTTCTTTGGATTATAATCAGAAATATATAAACTCTGAATTCGACACAAAAATGCTGATCACTTTTCTTTAAACTTCCAAGGTGTTTTTGTGTCTGTTTGTTTGCTTTACATTGCATAAATAACTAAATAAATAAATTGCTTCTACTTCCAAACCCACGTGAAACGCTGAATATTACGAATACCTTGAGTCCTCTTAAAGTGTTGGGATTACCGAATTCTCCAAATATCTGATGGCAAAATTTCAATCAAAGTGTATCATAATGTGAAAGAGGATGTCATTTAAGGCACACAAAGATCCCCCCCCCCAAAAAATAAATAAATAAATAAATAAAAATAAAATAAAAATAAATAAATAAATAAATGGGTTTGAAGGCAATTGTCAATAACAGATAGATAAATTGGGTTTTTTGTTGTACGTAGAAATCTAAATATTGTATTATTTCATCATTATTCGACTTCGAGCACATTTAAAATCCTAGAAATCCTTAGAAATGCATTTTAAATGAAATCCTCTTTCATATTATGATACAATTTAAGTGAAATTTGGCCATCAAATTGTTGGGGCTCCTAACACTTTAGAGGGGCTTTAACAAATGTGTACAGCAACTATGTGGAGAGCTAGCAGAATCGTTTCAACCTTATCTCCCCTTTGTGTCTTTCAGTTATCAGGAAGACCTCACCCGACAATGGAAGGAGATAGCAGAACATCCGGTTCAGTCCCGGCCACCGAATCCCTCTCTCCCGGACCCCAACGACATGCAGACGGGAGCCTTCCTCCAATTGTTCACCAACAGCGTCAATACAGCACTGCATAAGCAACACTGCACTTGCAAAGGGAAGAGCTACGATTCCAAGGAACTCTTCGCCAAAAGCAACCCGGGATTGTTTGGTCCGAACGGTCAGTGTAAGGTGAATCATGCGAAGAAGCCTGCTCTGTCACGGCCGGATGTTGAGGTGAAGCTACCACCTGTTGCAAGTTCGAAGGCATCAGAAGATATCATCAAGGAAGCAACGCGGGGCTTAAAGCAACAGCTGAAGAATCATGTAGGTGACACCGGAAGTGCGCAGGTGTCGCCTAGGTTCTGTAAACCCTTGGGGGATTCAGGTGTTGTCGAGCCAAAGGAGGAACTGCGGTTACCGCACATCATGGAGATTCGCGATCGGAACGGCAACAACTGGAAAATCATCCAGGACGCTTCGAACAAATCCCGACAAAAGTTAAAGGAAAGACGGACGGGATCTGAATGGAAGCCTGTTCCCGCAATATATACGCAAAAGTTGCAATTGCTCAACGGAATAATGAATTCGCCTCGAGGAAAGGATCTGGAGCTTCCAAATACTATGCAAGGACAAGGTCTTGATTCAAATGCTATTGATACTGTAACAAGACTAAATACACCTCTAATCCAGGTACGGGTTCCAGTTGTTGATGATTACTCAGATGATGCCTTCGACGGTCAAGGTATCCACTTGCCCGATCTTCAACCGCGCTGTCAACCGGCATTGACCCACACCTGTACATCGGAGGGCACAACTCCAAAGGATGCTCCGGATGAAATGACTCGGAAGATTCTTCTGGGAAGATGGGCTGCTGAGGTTCGTACTGGCAAGATGACTTACAGTGAATACCTTCGCAAAGTATCACTGATGTCCATGCTGCAGCGATCGGACACATTGAACAATAAAAAAGATATGCTTCAGAGTCACAGTCAAGAGTGGTCTTCGGACGCTAGAGAGAAGCGTGCAAGGACCCACAGTCTGGAAGAAATGTTTGCAGAGGAGCATTCGCCGAAGCGACTAGAGATCGATGGAGACCGGAGTCAGTTAAACTTAAGGGATAATGGTCATAGCAGGGATCAAGAAACCGAACGTCCAGATATGACCGGTGTCATAACACCAGGGAATAGCGTTGGAGTCTGCAGTCAACCGCTTCCTCCAGAGTTGGAAAGACTTTATACCAGGTCTTCAAGTAGGGTGCCTACCCTTGATATTGGACAATCGTTGAATGGGTACCTCCCAGCAGATTTCCTAGATAAGGAGCGTCATAAACTACGCATGCAATATCCGATGTATAATTTCAAGCGTGAGCATGAACGACTGCACGCCTCCAGCCAATTCACGTCCAAATCACTGCCAGCTGATCTGTCATTCCAGGACGAACTAGAAAGACCGATGACCCACGAACCTAAAGAGATCACCCTGCAGTCGAATATTTTGAATACCGGTCAACAGAAACGCAAATCAAAACCCCGTCGGTTAAACAGTCGCCTAGGCTACAATGCCATTTGTATAACAGGTGGTAGAATCCCGACCAAAGCAGATTCTGCCAAAGAGATTGAAGCGTTTGCGGAACTGCAAAGGCAGTTCTTTGAGCAACAAGCGCTAAATGACGTTACACCGGAAAATGGACTACCGCGTTTGTACAATGTCCCTCACCAACCGCCAACGACACCTGTTGATGCAACACTTGCTAGTGTATCCTTACCGGAGTTCCTCGCGCAGATGGCTGAAGGCGCAATCGTTAACCGGATAAGCGAAGAGGCACTCGATAGAGATGTAAAGGTGGGGGATAGGCCGAAAAAGGGCGTCCATGGAGAGCCGGTGAACGTAGTGACAATCGAAGCCGAAACGAGCTGCTTGAAACCTACAAGTTTCAAAGACAGCTTCACCAAGGAGTCAAAGGCCTTTGGTCATACTGGTAGCAACGCCGATATCAATAATACAAAGGCAACATATCTTGAAAGTGATAACAACGTGAATGACGCTGCTGATACGTTTTCTCTGAAGAGCGAACCACTTGAAGGTAAAAGCGAAGACTCTGTAGACAAGGAGGGCTGCAAAAATGATGAGGGGGTCGGGATACCATACTCCAAGTCGACCAACACCAACAACAACATCAGGAACGATTTGAGAGCGTCGGTCAAACAGTTGGAGATCGCGGACGTCAACGGTCTCGAAAGTCAGATGACGACCATTTCGAGCCGTTCCCTGGAAAGGATGATGTCTCGTCTGCCAGCGAGACTGCTCAAGAGTCGAGACAGACATGTCAACGCCAGGCGATCGAGGGCATTTGATGTAGCTTCAGGGGTCATGAAGACGAAGGGGGCGCCCTTGAGCACCAAGCATGTGGTGTTTGTAAGTCCTGCCTTCAACTAAAGCAAAACGTAACCCCTGCACCCTTGTCTTGGATAAAGGAGTAGAAACTATTAAGTTTTAAAATATGACGAAGCTAAGATTAATTTAAGGCATAACAATGGTTATGATAGGTAACGGCATATTAACAAGTTGATTTTTGTCAAAGAATACACGAAATCGGTGAAGGTCGAAAAGATTTGTATTATCAAAAAGGTTTGACATGAGCGAACTAATCACTAAAGCACGTGTTTTGGTTAAGATGTAGGTATGCTTTGGTAAACTTTCAGCAGCAGTTCAAATATATGAAGAAAAAAAAGTGTACTCATTCTACAAACTTTAAAAGCAGTCAGAAAACCAATATTACAAACATCTCCAGGAGTTCGCATTTAATCTTATCATGTTCTATTTATCACCTCCGGTTAATTAAGTTTCCTTCTGCATACAGAACAATAAATGTCGCATATTATAGGGGCTTTCCTCAGTTGACGTGGTTGTGTACGCAATGCTTTATAATGAAATAGGTTTTCCCTAGGGTCGTCAAATAATAAAATGCCACAATTCGATAAGAACATCTCGCTCCGAAAGTACTTAATTGGAAACAAATAGTTCTTTGCACCCTTGATACTATGATATCATATTACAACTGTACCTGAATAAGGGGCCTAATGCGCGAGGAATATTATCATGATTATTATCTGCGTTTACGATTTGAATTAAATAATAAATGAATCGGGAGAAACATTAAAAGTAGTTGAATTACGCAAAATATAATTGAACCTATAAAGCAACTAATTCCTAAAGCCTGTTTCATATGAAGTATGATATTATTACATGAACAAGGGGAAGGACAGAGAGTCAAAATTGGCTTTAAAGAGAAGGTTGAGTTCTGGGAAGAGGTGAACAATAATTTGTGGGCGTTAGCATTGTATTATACAAGTGTGGATGAACATCATATTAAACAAAATGTTCCCTGAAAAGCATGGCTCTTCAAATGTCTGGAAGAATAACGTTCATGATCATCCAATTAAACTCTACATAATCTCTGAATATTATTTTTTTATTAATTTTGAGTCAACTATGTAAAGCACATCGCTAAGGCCTACGACCATACACAAACTACGCACCTTTTTAGAAATTTTACAATTGTTCATATTGATTTGGCTTTCGAAGGAGACTGTTTCCTGATTTACATTTATGACACAAAATTATACTTTTAGTTTGTATGCAACCTTGGGTAAACACGACATTATTATAATTATCAATATTGTCATTTCAAATAGGAATATGTAACTTTGCGATAGATTGGAGGCCTTACGATCAATACGTATCAATCGCAACTTCTGTTTATATAAATGAGACAGGGACCAAAAGGAACAAACTTTAGGTTCGCAGATTTTTTTAGCATTTGCCAAAGTATCTGATGATATTTGGGCGTTCCTCAAAAGGTACAATTAAATGTTACAAGAAATTATATTTAAAAAATCAAATGTTCTAAATTGAAAGATTGTCTGTTTGCAGTTTTTTTTTGCTTTGGTTTACAAGCTTCGGTTAATACTTATAACGCACTATTTTAATGCACTTGGTGACGTTAATGGTCGGTCCGCAGACGTAGATAAAATAAAAAATAAAATTACACGCACACGCACACCCACACACGGATGCATTGGAAGTTTTGCACATGTTTTAAAAGCGACTGCTGGAATTCGAAAGTCGTGAACTCCTGTCATTCAATAAGATAATTGTGTTAACGCCCCTCTGTATCTCAACTGACGCAACAACATTATAATGGACACCCTGGTTAAAAGATTGCTTCGGTACGTTTGGAGGATATTTTTTTCTTTAGATTGGTTCGGGATCTTGAAATAATTATATTGATAAACGCCAGTTTACAGATATCTTTAAAGATTTATGCATATAATTAAAGAACGGTCATTTGATGTTGGTGATCCGAGAGCTTGTCCGACTTTAGTCCAGAATCTGAACAGCGTTATTATATTTCGCGATCATTCTCTCCTTTCCCTACATGCTGCAAGCCGAAGATGGCGGGATCCATATATCCGTCCGTATTGACGGTACGCCCAGCTAGGTTTCTCGCTGGGCGTAGAATTTACCTAAAAAATTGACTCCTGATGAAGTTGGGGAATTACAAATTTAATTAGTTTTGTTGAGTGCAATTATTGTTTTACTGTGTTTTAGGCATGGACATGACGTAATGGACATTAAACAAGTCTTATTTGCATTCATGAATGCTTTGCCCTGCCAATAAAATGTGAAAATGTAAACAGTGATCGTTGTCTGTGTGCATTTAATGACTGCATTTGGAAATTGATTCAAGTTCAGTAAATCTTTATGGTAAAGTGATAGAGGAAACAAACAGGAGAACAAGAGATGGAGGGAGAGAGAGAGAGAGAGAGAGAGAGAGAGAGAGAAATAGAGAGAGAGAGAGATAGAGAGAGAAATAGAGAGAGAGAGAGAGAAAGAGAAAGAGAACTGATGAAGGGGTGTGGGGGAGAGACGCGAATAGAGAGAGAGGGGGGGGGGTTGGAGAGAGGGAGGAAGAAAAGAAGATGAAGAAGAAAATACGTACATGGTAAGAGTAAGGATGATATTAAAGAGAGCTTGCGATTGATTCTGTTCAATCGCAACTCTGTATAAGACGGGCCCTGATTGAATTCTAAGATCAAAAAGGAAAAAGGCAGTGCCAGTGGGGGAAGATTGTGGATTCGATTGGATGAGAGTCCCGGGGGCGCAATTTTTTTTACACGCTAGCCTGGCCATTTCTATGATATACACCATTGAAACGACTAATATTAGTCTAGCAGCCTACATGCGAGGAGCATGATGATAAACATGTACATCGTGCATGACAATCATCAGATAAAGACATAGCTGGCCCTTTTAAATGAGACGGCCATCTCAGCCATTGGGCGATGGAATTCAAAAACTTAATCTATTTTAATTTAATTTAGGAACTTTACATTAATCTTGATCTAAGCTTGAGACACGAACGACCGAACGTTCAGCTAGAGAGCAATCAAGTTAAACTGCGGTAGGCCTAGTGCATGCCTATATGTAGGCTTTACCTCCAGCGCACTTTTACTAGTATTACGGCGAAACTGGCCAGACTAGCGTGTAAAAAAAATATTCGCGTCCCGGGGGGTGGGAGGAGAAAAGTGATATAAACGGTGCCTGTCTGTATGTGTTCTTCGCCTGGTCGCAAAAACTAAATAGTTTTTTAACGTAGATGGCAGCAAATCCTGGAAAGAAAGGAAGGAAGGAGTTTGTGTCATTGCCATCGGCCCGTAAAGTATTATCCTACAACTTAAATCGGGTTTAGCAAAAGGAGTTAGTCTGAGATCTCAGATTTTCCTTTGTAAACGTAATCTTAGACTGAGGGTTGCATTTCAGTGATCCCTATGAGTATTTTGCATCTCTTGTTCCTGCCTGGGGGAGGGGGGGGGGGAATAATTTTTGTTTTAATTAATCGAATTGTTATCCTTGATTATAAAGATGGAGAGTTACACTATAAGGTGCCCTTTTATATTTTGTAATGTTTTGTTGACGAATAATCAGCAATAATGGTACGAGAGAAACTGCATTATGTCTAATATTTTGTCTACCTTGAGATTTAATAACGAATAAACTTACAAGATCACGTTGAAGAAATAACGTGAAATTCGCGTATCACTGCATGCAATGAGTGAGAAGTGAAATATTAAACAAAAACAAGTGAAATGTTTCTTTTCTTGCTGTAGTAAACCTAAGCGCTTATGGCACAGTCACACGGCCACTTACGGTAGCTGCGGATGCTTACGGATAAAAGTCCGTAAGCATCCGCAAGGATCCGTATCATCCGTAAGCATCCGTATCCATCCGTAATTCAATCCGCAGGATCCGCAGACATACCCAGATCCGCAGCGGAATTTTGAAAATCTCAAAATTTTGCTGCGGATGAAATATACGTAAGCATCCGCAGGTCCGTAACATGGCCGTGTGACTGTAGCATTAGGGACATTCATGTACTACTGAGATTACATCAATCTCTACACGCGCGTAATTGATGTGAAGCATATGGTTTTTCTATTTAAAAAAGAAGAAGCAGGTATTAAAGCTATCAAACAAAGTCAACCAGTGAAATATAGTCAATTACTCTCTGCCAAAATTAGGAAGCGGGACGCAAAAAAAGGTTTATAGGCGTTTGGTCTACAACCAGTTCGTCTACTACCCAAACTGGGGGGTGTTTCACAAAGATCCTAAGTAGAACTTAACACTAAGTTGGACTTAACAATTATGGACAGCCATTGGAGCCTTAAAATGAAATATATTCAAAAGCAAAAATTCAAGTATTTTAGACTTTTTTTTATAAATTCCACACCAAGAACATGAAATCTCCTTGATGATAGAAAATATGAATGATTTGAATCAACATTTTATGCCTATAAAAATACATTTTACTATTTTTTTTCAAAGATGCTAACTGCTTTCCATAATTTTTAAGTCCAACTTAGAGATAAGTTCAACTTAGAATCTTTGTGAAACACCCCCCTGGAGTATTACTCATCATTTAGTCCATTTCCAGTCGGAATTATTCCCAGTTCGTCTAAAGTCCATTTTGTCTGCTACCCATATGGTCTAATAGTCATTTAATCATGAATAAAAAATAATCATCAAATGATTAATAGACTTGATGGATGGTGGACGAAACGGGTATTAGATCAATTGGGAATTAGACTAACTGGTTACTAGACTAAATAAACAATAGACCAAATGGTTAGTATGGGGTATCAGACCATATGCAGACTAGACCTAATAACTATTAGCCTAAATGGTCATTAGACAAAACGATAAGTAGAGAAAATGATTATTGTAGTAGAAGTGTTTTTTTTTTACCTGACTGCTGTGAAAGCATAAATGCTTGTTTAGTAAGCAACCACTGAGGACCGACGGCTTTAGGTCCTCTCCGAGGGATCTGGTAATGAAGATTAATGTCTTAATACCAAAGGGCACTTGTCTAGCGCATGGACTTGGTTTCGAACCTGGGTCGCCGGATTACGAGACCACTGCTCTACCAACTGAGCTATCGCGCCTCATTAATATAGCCTACGCCGGTAATAGTAGACGGACTGGGTGTCGACCAAATGGCAATTCACCCGCAAAAGACAAATGACATAAAGCTCAAATTCCTCCTATCATATCCCTGCCCTGCGTGCCCTTTCAAAAGTCTATCATGTTGTATTTATGATTTTAAGTGATATATTTTGGACGACTTTAAACTGTCAAATAATTTCATGAAAAGTTCTTGTGGTTTTTTAAATATGCATGGAATATAAAGCTATAAGCTTATTTCACCTGCAATTTTCTTCTTTTTCTTGGTTATTACGAGAATTACCGCATGTATTCCGGGCTGTATTATTCTGTATTGATGATTAAAGGGTAATCTTTTAAGTGCAGCATGCAGATTTCTATCAACGTTTTCTACATTAAGTGTAAGATCATAGAGAGCCCCGGGTAAAATTATGATTTATTAATAATTTCCTGCCGTCTGCATATTTCATGTAATGAATAAATAAAAAGGGGAAAACTCCCTCCCTCGAATATCATAAGGATTGCCATTTCTTTATTTTTGATGTCGGTGAACAGAAAACTTCGTATTTCCTGCTTTTAAATACAAGTTAGAAGTCAAGAGTTCATGGAAAGTGTAGATTTTTTTTCTTCTCCAGGACTGACACAGCGGTTTGTATGTTCACGCTTACTCTTACATGTTGAGCATGAGCAACCGCTGAAACATTGCTGTGTCACTATAGATAATATGGTGACTTTTTTAAAGACCGTCTGTACTAGTTTGGCCAAGAGGGATTAGACCACCCAGGGTGCTAACTGACAGGTGGCTGTCTCATCAACTCAGCTCTCAATTAACATAAGAAGAAGAGGAATCATGGGGGACCAATGGTCACCGATTAGGCTTGTTTTTCTATATAGAGGGAGCAAGCAGCTACAAGTAGTACATATGGGATTCAAAGGGGGGGGGGGGGGCTTGTCACAGAATTTTAGGATTTGTGCCCCCTCCCCCATCGTCCTCTCCCCCTCTGTTATGGAATCCTGGATCCTCCACTTACAGGGACAATCCCGTTTACAAGATGGATGACATGCTAAAGAACACGGCCGGGGGGGGGGGGGGGGGGGGGGGTGGTAAGGTATAGGAGGGGGTCGTTCAGTGTTTTTTCAGACAGGCTTATAAATTCCCTCTCTCCCTATCTACATCTGTAATTTCCTTTCTTTTTTGCCCCTTCCCGTTACTTCGCCACTTTAAAGTTGATTTTAAATGACGAATTTCTGACTCATCCAACTAAATTTTTGAAAATAATCAAAGACTCTTTTTCATTGTAAATTGACGCCATGTTCACTTCACTCTGTCATTAAGTTGATTTGAATAAAGTTAAATGATTTGAGAATCGGATGAGTAACATCTTGAGGGAATTAAAAAAAAAAAATCTTTTACCGCAAAAAAAAACTATTGATCATAGTTGTACCTCTGTCCGGAACATGACTTATCTAGAAACATGTTCTTATAAAAACAATGTGATGTTCTACTGCACACTGTATATAATAGTCTGAATATGTTAAAAAGCTGTATATTTTGTTGGAGAGTAGTACATCGATTTGCTGAAGTTTCTTATTTTCTTTCCTTGGATTTTATAAAACTTTATTAACTATTCTCGTTTGACATTTTGTTCAATCAATCTAAGCTTGATAATTGAAAATATATAGCCATTCCTTTATAAACAATAATAAATTACTTATATGACCAAGCTATGTGTTTCATGATATTATTCTCTATATACAATTGGTGGAATTATGTATACTGGAAGAGTTTACGCCTATTTCTTTTAAAATTTCTGTATCAAGGTTAGACCAAGCTAGGAGCTTCTTGGTTAATCAATGTTATGAAATACCCTCCGGAACAAGCTAATTTCTAGTTCATTTTGGGGGGTGGGGGGGGGGGGGGTAGGGGGCTTATCCTGCCAATGTCCCTAGCTATCCCCATTATACACCCCGCATTCTAAATATATACATGTCTTACGCTTGACAATTCAGGTAAAATAAAACAAAATCTAAAAGAGAACGCAATACATTGTCGAAAACGCGTTGAGTTCCACCAGGGAGATGTGAGTTCTCCTTGGTTCCACGAACTTTCACCAGTGAGACCAACCCGTGCTGAAGCACGAAGCGACGGATCTATCGGTTAGGTCTGGATCACAAAGACTACAAACAAAAAAGTCAACAAAAGTTTTAGGGGAAAAAAAGAGAATGGGTGAAAGTCCCAAGCCCGCGAGTCACGCATGGGGGCATACCATACACACACAGGATCCAGTTTGAAAGGTACGCTGGAAAAAAAGGTACCATACACCATGAACCTAATACCAGTTTTGTGAAGCCTATTGTGAAAAAATCGACTCCGCTCCCGCGAGAACACGGACTGTTGTTTATAATGTTTTATGTGAAAGTTGGTTGAGCTTGCTGAAGAAGAATGACAATTATAGTTGTCGGTTTTGCCATGATACCGCGTAACGTAATATATATACGAACATTCAGACGTCGTTTTTGATAGCCTGGGAATTTTGCCGTCAAAGTATTCTGCAAGTGCCAATGAACGAATGAAACTGTATCCAATTAATACAATTGTTCTGCGAGGGGAGATCTGAAGCTTGGCCGAGATGATAATCACAGCGACCGACATAATTCGTTTGCAGGGCAGAGGTATGTATATAGTTCATTCATTCGTTTCTTTAGTTGTGTACAATTGCTATGATGACTCGTGGTAGTAATAATACTAAAAGTAGTTACGAAGATGGAGCGATGTTGTAATAGTAAGCTGATAATATATGAGAATGTGAGATACTGCTATTACTACTGATATATTACTACTATTCCTACTACTAACTACTACTACTACTACTCTACTACTACAGATCTCTACTTCTACTACTACTACTACAGATCTCTACTACTACTACTACTACTACTACTACTACTACTACTACTACTACTACTACTACTACTACCACTACTACTACTACTACTACCACTACTACTACTACTACTACTACTACTACTACTTCTAATACTACTACTACTACTACTACTACTACTACTACTACTACTTCTAATACTACTACTACTACTACTACTACTACTACTACTACTACTGTCACACATCTCAGCAGCGTTCGGAGAGCTCTTCAGGTGCTATGTCGGGGCTGTATTTAAGCGTTTTGTAATTGATAATAATAATTACTTCGAATGTTTCCAAGCATTGCATTTTGATAACAAATAATACTCTTCCACATTAACATTTAAAAAAAAGGAATGAAAAGGCTTATACATTATTTTCACCTTTTCCAAAACTCAACCTTCTCTTTATAAAAAGAACAGTTCTACTTCTATTCTGCTACTTGTCAAAGCCTGTTCAACATCTAGACAAGTGTGATCTTCTGCCGACGCTGGACGGCTTGTGTGAATTAGTGCCTAATTATATACATGTTTATGGTGCAAGTAAAATGATGATGCTGTGACTATTCGCAGCTGATGGCTTCCTTGAACTGCTTCAATGTGGGCAGCTCAATGATATTGTAGGAAGCTCACCCCAGTCTTTCATGGTGCGGGGAAAGAAGCTGTACTACTACTTTTAAGAATTAGAGGATGTATGGTACCAAGTCTGGTGAAACGAAGATGATGTTGACTTCTTGTAGCTCTGCCTGTCACGCCTTTCGTTTCCCAAAACCACACAAAGGATTTTTTGCGATTGTACTTTTATGGAACGCATAAATATATCTAAAGCAATGAAAGCTTTCCCCGTTTTATGGAATGCGTTAATCCTTTCGCTTTATAATAAAGTTATTTAAAGTTACGGAATATAAAATCAATATTGGAAAGAAAAATCAATTGTGACCGTGATAATTAGATTATCTTGCATTCTTCGCGAACTACTCCCTCCTTTCTCTCTCTCTCTCTCTCTCTTTATCTCTGATGTCTGTCTGTCTGTCTCTCTCTCTCTCTCTCTCTTATGTAAAGCATGACATTTCTGTTTTATTGAAGAAGCTTGAGTTCTGGTGAGGCCAGGTTTAAAATATTCTTGATAGATAGTTTATATCTATTTAGAACTTTAATTAATCGACCCCTCTTATTTTCGATTGATCAATATATTTCTGAGAAGATAATAGTATAGACCAGTTTTGGAAACGCTCTCAAAAAATGCCTGGGAACTGGAACGGGTTTTTCTTGGGGGAGGGGGTGGCTAAGTTATTATGTAAGTGACATGTGAGCTTTTATTAGGGGGAGGTAGTGCAGGCGTTTTCCTCTCTCGTCCTTCTCCCCTTCTCATTCTCTCTCTCTCTCTCTCTCTTTCTCGCTTAATTTTATTTTAATCACCACTGGGATAGGGGGAGAGGCACTATCTACGCCACTGGTCCCTTATTTCAGTTTATGTGTGCATAACATTTGATTTTCAAAATTTTCTTCCATTTGATCATATCAACATTTCACAGTGTACATCTTATTCGACACCATTTACCTTTTCCAAATTGCCTCCAGACAATTCGTTCTCAATGTAATCGCCTGACCAGAACCTCGACCTCATTGTTAGGTAAAGCCTGCTATTCGTTGTGTCACATATGGGTCTCCCGTATGACATTGGCCTATGCATCAAAGTCAGGTTCAAGTTCATTTCTTTTCTTCGTAAATAGCATTTCCAGTAGCGGTTCTATAGAGGGGCACTTGAGGGGCACATGCCTCCCATATTTCTTCCAGTCCAACGCCCCCAATCAGTCTTGATTATAATTGAATATAAGCGAGGCATACAGTTAACAACTAAATTATTCATACCCTTACCAAGTTTTGTAATTTGTCTAGTATGTGAAAATAGATTTGTCCCAATTTATGTTACTTGCGAATGTGACATATTAAAGCTTACATATATCTATCAAAAGGATTAAACAAAGGCCACAATTCAACCAGTCCAGCTTTCATTCCTGAGTTTTAAAAAAACACACAAAAATATCCAAATATAGAAGGGGTATAAATAATATAGTTGTTACCTGTAATATGTAGATAAGGAACCCGCTCCCACACGCACCATATTCTTGTAAATCCCGCGCCTGAGCACATCTTCACCAAAACACGAATTTCAGCTGTCAAAGAACTGTAAAGGTCACAAACTACATCGACGGGACTGGAAGATTTTAGATTGAGATGGCATTTGGGTTAGAGTTCAATATAAACAATATCAACAGGTCCCTGATTTAACCGAAAGAAACCCAGATTTTTTTTCTTCCTCAACCCCCTTTTTTGGTGGTGGTGGTGGTGGTGGTGGGAGGGGGGGGGGGGATGGCACAAGCCGCCCCACCCTTGAACTGCGATTGGATATACACGTGGTATATGGATCTAATTTGGATTGGTCGTACGTTCTGTTTTGGAGCGTAAGCCTTTTTTCTCTCGATTCCCTAACTTTTTTCAGTCTCTCTCTCATATCCATGCGTTTCTGGCATGGACACGACAATAAGATTACTGACAGCTGTTCTCGAAGGTAAAAAAACTGTCATAAGACATAGAAACCCACTCCCTAAAAAATAAATTGAATAAAGCTGAAAAAGGGCTTACTTGATTCTATTTACAGCAAACATCGTATTCTGTAGAACTTTGCAGGAATTATGAATATGTCACGTATGTCCTATCTGTGAACTTTAATCGTTGGCAGTGTCCCAATATTCAAATTATGCAAGGAAACACTTTTAATTGCTAGAATTCACTGTCAGACACCATTGAGTGACTGCATTAATTTTATGACTGACTTTTTTTTCTTTGGCAATAACATACATGAAATGAGCTGTAACAGCAACATGGGCATTTGTCTATTATTATACGTTATTTTGTTTCAGATTTTAAAAAAATGCGTACAACAAAACATAACGATACCAGACCAAAATGTTATGTCTGCGTTCATGAAAGGCGAGATATTTCACCTCACCTGACAGTTGTCCGTTTCTATTTCAACCGTCGAAAAGAGCGATGAAATTCAGAGATTTGTCGTTTGTTAAATTTGTATATACATGTACTATGTATAATGAAGCCTCATGCACTCACTTAGCGATTTTTTTTTTAAGCTTGTAAAATGACTCATTTTCCTGTTCTTATTGTTATGACCCTCAACATTTTGTTTCTGCCTTTTTTGCCCCCCCCCCCCCCTCTTAATGTGCTTGCGGTATGTGGTTTGGCAGCCAGACGCTGTAGCGTACGAATTTCATGAAGAATACAAAGATCTAGAGAACCGTCATTTTTTTTTGCAGAAAACTTAATATTCTGTCAGAACACATTTATGTGTACAAGCCATTTCTTTTTCAAAGAAATCACGCATAAGGTCTTTATTTACCTTTGGCGTGTTGTGATATGCCTGTTGGACCCTTGACTTTGCGATGGTACTTCATTTCTGTACTTCATTTATTTACCGATGTTTTGAATGGGTGTGATGGAGAGCCAACATAAATGTTAGCGAAAGCCCTTTTTTGTATTTGCTCACCTGTACGTGCTAGTAAGCTTCAGATAATATTATTGTTCTAGTTACATTAACTAGTCTTTGATCAAAGTTTCCAAATGGGGTCTTTTAATCAATAAAGACTGCACGCATCATTAAAATTGCGGCATTGATCGATAGACCGATTCACTAACATATTCACATTTTAGACATAATACTGTATTGCAGTTCATTCATTAAAAACAGGTTAATGGAATACCTCATCACTAGGTCCCCAGGAAAGAAACATCCATACATTTGAATATGTTAGTTAACCGGTCTATTAACGTCGCATAGACCAAGATTCAAGATTTATTTATTTCTTTCAACTTGCATGAAAACAATAAATATTCATGACCAGTAACAACACGTTCATCGTCAGCAAGAATAAATTTATGAACAATAACAAGAAAGTTATAAAGACATTGAAAATGTGGAAAAGAGGTGGTCTGTAAAAAAAAAGCACAGCTTGTTCAACACAGATCACCTTTACAGGAACAACAACAACAACAAACAAGACTTTAAAAGAATAGATTACAATACAGGGCAGGAGGGGGGGGGGGCTAAAAATACTAATCTAGTTACGTATTCTGAATAGAAATAAAAACCAGATCTATCACTAATTTGTAGAATATGGTAGGTTACAAAAAAGAAGCAGATTAATCATAATAGAAAAGTAAGGCATAGAACTTCGTATATTTCAAGCAGAAGAAGAGCAATTATCACAAATTTTACGACCTTGACGGTAACGCATAGTGAAGGTTGTTGTCTAGACTCCCGTGCTCAGAACTATGGTATCTTCGAAGAGGAATGTTTGCACTTTTCTTGTTGGAATCACGTTAAGAACCTAAATCAAATACCCGCTGAGAGAAGCAAATAAAATTGTAATCACACACTCCAGTACTCCACGATCACACAGCATAGCCTATTGACATACCAGTCTTGTGTGGATATACACGAATTGGCAATCGAATATTAAAAAACTACCGACTTTGCAAACAACCCTTGCGGATTGTTTTATCGTATTTCTTCTTCTTCTTCGCTATAAGTACTAACTGAGCTTCTTAATAAGAGGATTTGCGAATCTTGAGTAAAATCCCGAAATGAAAATCTCGTTGCTACGATTTATTTTTTGTTTTACTTTTGCTAACTCCTTAGAATGTCGATCGTGGAAGAATATCACAGCTGAAATGACCCATGTAAACAACTGCCATTAAAGTGTTCGCCTTTTAACATGAAGGCCAGAATTGTGGACCCGAAAACTCTGAATTAAGACATGTTTGTGTAGTCCCGTATACCATTTTGGCTTTATCATTGTTCGATGCCGTAAGGGAAGACTAAAGTAATTTGTTTTGCCATGGTTACAAAACCTCATAATACAACTCTGTAAATCGAAATGAGATTTCAAATGAAAAAGAAAAAAGTCGACCATTTGGCGGCAGTTTATTTTAACAATGGAATCATGTAGGCCTAAAGCCTGATCGGTATACTTGCTTTCTGTGACGCAAAGTGGAGGTTAGCCAAGATAATACAATTTAAGTAAAGTCTAAGTCAGAAGAAGAAGAATAATGAAGAGAAGAAAGATTTAAAAAAGAAGAATAAGGAGGAGGAGGAGGAAAAGAAAGAAGAGGAGAAGAAGAAGAAGAATGAGGAAGAAGACGAGGAGCAAGAAAATAAGCAGAAGAAGTGGAGATAGTAGTAGTAGATTTAGAAGTAGTATTAGTAGTAGCAACAGTAGTAGTAGTAGACGAAGATGAAGAAGAAGAAGAAGAAGAAGAAGAAGGATAAGAAGCGTTATGTCAAGTGTTATGCTCTATTTGATCAACACTTAGCATCATGATTGCTTTTGTCGATCGATGTTTGATCGGTCATGCAAATAATTATGTAAACTTATAATCTTTTTACGATTGTATGCTCTGCTCACACGTCAATCCAACAACAGATTGAAGATTTGAGCAAAAAGAGAGGAATAAAATAGTCGATCTGTTTGATATCTATGCCTACACAGTGCAAACAATAGACTTGAAAGTAAAGTGAACTTAATCAAATCCGACCCAATTGTGAGAAGAAATACGCGGAACAACTGAAGAACCTCGATGCAAAAGCTCTTTTCCCTTTTTTAATATTCAATCAATTTTTAATCAAATATTCTCAGTGTAAAACTAATCTATAGGTCTATAATTATGATGGAAGGGTTGTTTTGTAGCTTATCAAGACCGAAAATATGTAATTTTGCAACGGTTATGTGTTGCACAAAGCGACTCTTTCTGCTAACAGATCCCTATTGTTTTGTGCAAATCAGCCCGCGCGACAAACGAGCGCCCTTGCATATTGGCACTTGTGGCAAAGGAAAGGTTAAAGGGATAGGGTTTCTTTGCCTCAGATTCTAAACAAAATTCTATATTTAGCTCATTCAGCAATCATAATTATAAACCTTTCAGGAACCCCACGACTTTTACAAGCCGATCGCCTTCTAGTATCTGATTACCAGATTGGTTTTCATAACACTACAGTCTATTGGGTAAAAATGAGTTTGGTAAAAACCGGTCACTCAAAGATTTTACTTTTTTAAGGCACTTTTTAATCATTTTGAAGCGCAATATTTTTAAGGGTTTCAATATTAAACCAAATCACAGACACTGGTAACACGTAGGGCCATGCATCTCAGATTTGTAAAACTGAAAACATTGTTAAATAATGCCTTTAAACATGCCCCTGAGAGCAGTCAATATGTTTTATATTACCTGAGGTGACTGACTAGTCGATCTTTGAACTATCTTACTCGCTCATAGTTTCACTTGTGATGATACTAGCAAAGAGAAGTTTTCCGGTAGGAAGGAAGTTAGAAACCAATTGTTCCGTGAAGGTGTCGCCATAGACCAGCTGATTCCTGTGAAACTTGACTCTGATTTCCTCATACATCACGAATATTTTGTTGTGATAGGTAGGCCAGATTTCATTGCCACTCTCCTCCATTTAAAGCCCCATTGCACTAATTATAGCTACTTGCGCCCTCTATATACCAAACAATGCCTAATCGGTGCCTGTTGGTCCCCCATGATCCTCTTAGTATGTTAATTGAGAGCTGATTTGATGAGATAACCACCGTTGTCAGTGACCTTGCAGGAATGTCTAATCCCCTGGCCAAACTGGTACAGACGGGCTTAAGGAGATATATTGATTAGTTGAGTATCGAAGTTTGAAGCTAATCTTGAAATTGTGGTATGGGAATCATATGTTGAGAGAACATGGCTATAATTCATTCTGGATTGTTTATCCTGCAGTAGATTGATTGTTTGAACCAGTAAAATAGAAATAAACTCACAAAAAACCTGCTGGAAATCATCTTCGATAAAAACCACAACTCTTATTTGCACATAGTGACCTGTGTGAAGCACGTATAGTGTCGGGCCTACTTACCTTGATTTCCTTATCTTTCTATGCTCATTACTCAGACCCTATACATTTTCTGCGTCATTTATTTGTTATCTTGAACATTCAGTGTACATTCCGTTGGATTCTGTGAGAATATATTTTCTATATTTCCCAGAACTCAAGTTTATCTTTAAGAGAAGACAACATTATAGGAAAGATGAATAGTTTGTGATAGTTTTCATTCTTTTTGCTGTTGCGGAAAAAATATTTATAGAAGAGATTCAATTCAATTAAATTCGCTTTATTAGATTCCATCTTTTCGTAAATCATTGTAAAAACACATCAATTTAAAACTTGCAATTTGATACATAAATACATGTGAATTACATAAACATTACAGCTGTGCCCAATTTAGTTCTGCCATAAAAATGTCAGAACTAAATTGGGCACAGCTGTAACAAAACTTAAAAAACAAGGTTTTGTCAAGACAGCTTCCCTGATAAAATAGGATGTGGTATTGAACAAATCGTTGCTGTTTTTGCCAAGTGTTTTGTTTTTCTGACGAGGAAGTAACATCATTTTAAACAATGCATGGACAGTTTCAACAGGTTCATTCGAGCAGATTCCTTGCAATTCATCAACCTAATGGGGCGTTGCATATCCTCAGAATCAAGCGCAAGTCTTGCGATTAATTGCAAACTTGCAATTGATCGCAACTCAACTTCCTTGCAACGCCCCATTAGTAAGGGAGGGAGAGAGAGAGAGAGAGAGAGAGAGAGAGAGAGAGAAGAGAGAGAGAGAGGGAGAGAGAGAGGGGGGAGGGGAGAATAAAAGCTAGATCTAGTTAACTTAATTTAATTGCTAAAAATGATTAATTGCAAATAATTAATCGCAATTCAACTTTCTTGCAACGCCCCATTAGTAAAGGAGAGAGAGAGAGAGAGAGAGGGGGGGGGGGGGGGGAGGGTGAGAATAAAATTGAGTTGCAATCGACTGCAAAATTAATATCAGTTGCACATTGTGCAACTTGCAATCAATCGCAACTTTCTTGCAACGGCCCATAAGTGATGTTTTTTTCTTCAATACCATCTTTTCCTCTCTGCAGCTCAAGATAACCGACCGTGGTCAAGATGAGGTACTACTGTAAGATATCACCTGAGAAGTTCATCATCTTATCGGCTACTTTGGGGATCTACATTCTTCTCCTACTCCTGTCTTTCAACAAACAAACCAGCACAAAACCCCAGGAGCTGCAAGAGCGCAGAGCGAACGAGCCTGCCAAGAAGCTAGAATGGATCGGAGATAGGTAAGACAGACATGATCGCAAAGGCTGTTAAGAAATCAACTCAAAGCCAATTTTAGTACCATTGCGAGACAAACGAATGTCACTTTATTTTCGATACTATATCCGCAATGAGTAATATATTTAGCATTATGGAAATCATATCCAGATTATGTAATTCGTTGTTGAAAAATTATAATGTCCATATTGTGATGGAAAAGGCTGTTGAATTGTCTTAGGCGGTTTTCTCGAAAGTCTTGGCGATCTCTGCCGCGAAAATGGACTGTATAACTGATGATAATCCAGCTAACAATGGAAGTTACAAACTGATTTAGCCAAGGGCGCAGGTTCGAAACTGAGTCACGTCTTTCGGATGGTGACATTAAGGCTCGGTTCCCAGATGTAAATAATCATATCTGATTGATACACGTCTGTAAAAACCCAATTACACACACAGGTCCTTCGGCAGCGTTTGCTCCAGACTTTATTTTGTCGAAAAATATAAATTGTTGGGGAAAGGTTTCGGTTGTGCTTAGATTTTATTGGTTTAGGATTGTATCATGTTTATGCATAGTATTGAGTTTGATTCATCCGTCACACCGCCAAGACCGACTCCAATCCGGCCACAAACCGACCGACTAACCGACCAATTCCTGCGTGCATATTTGGAGTAATATATTATTTTTTTCTTTCAGTCTGTTACACCTTATTCTAGACCCTTATGTTTGCATATGTCATAGGGTAATGACAAATGCAATTGTAGTCGTTGCTGTGTTTTTTTGTGGACCAAACTAAGTTCAAGATAGCTGATTTGCGGTTTGTAATAAAAATATATTTTATGATGTAATGTTCTAAATCGAGCTTTTGTTATTGTCTCTCCAGATGGATGAACCATCTCCAGCACCAACCCGTCATCCACCGCACCAAGAATCGTCTCTCCAAATCCGTTATTCCTAAGAGTGACGTCAGCCATGACGCAAGCGAAGACGACAGAGAATCATCGGTTAGTGGTGACAACGCCGGGTATGACCACTCCTCGTACGCGGTTTTCTCGCATCCGTTCGGACGCCCGGCTCCGAACATTCGCCGAATATATCCCAAGGACAAGAGCAAATCTAACATCGCATTCAAACCGCTATCCGATTCCAAGATCGGCGTTCGGCGAACCTCGAAGCGTAACCGGGCTGACACGATACCAAATAGAAACGATACTGATGGTGCTAGGATTATCGATGACAAGATAACGTCTGATTCTAAAGAGGATCATACTACGTGCAAGCCTCATTCAAATATTGTTTACATTAAGACACATAAAACCGGAAGCTCGACGTTGCAGAACATTATATATCGATACGGTGATGAAAAGAATTTGACCTTTGCCCTTCCGGCACGTGATGTGTACATCCAATCAGTGCGCGAGTTTGAACCTTCGAGTATATTACCGGTGCGACCGGGAAGACAAATCAACATAATGGCTAACCACGTCCGGTTCTTCTACAATGGTAAGTCGTGGACATAATCTAATGTTATGACTACAAATATCGAGTGTTTAAAGGTAAAGACCAGTATTGGAAACGCCCCAATTTCAAAAAAATGAAATGGAAGCTCTTATTACCAATCATGTGAAAGAGTATGTTTTGACTATGATGATAAAAATGTTGCCGGGAAACTGCCTACTAATTGATATATTTGGTATATTAGTATATCTCTGACCTGTTGAGAGATACAAATGCACGTGTCGCGCACGTGTGTGTAGTCCCATATACATCTTTCTGTGTACAGTGCTTGTAACTTTACGAAGACTGGGCCAAATTTCTTATCATTTTGATGATTCCAGAACCTTGCAGTACACACCAATACTTATATGCTAGATGATGATCAACCTTTTCTGATCGATTCCACAACGTTTCTTTCACAATGCAACCGCATGACCAGAACTGGTCTTTATCTTTCATGGAAATTTAAGTCAGGAAAACTAACATTGATCTGCTCAATGCCTCTTCACAGTTCATCCTGACCATACATCCTGATCACTGTCGAGGATGCAGTAATTGTTTTGGATGAAACAGGGTCCGAAATGGTACTATTTTTTTTCTTCTTTTCAAATGGAAAGTATGTCTTCAAAGCTCGATTCGTGGGAGAGATAAAGCAACTTGTCTGATTGATGTTGGCTACTGTGCCCACGAAGCAAATAATTATTTCAGAAAATAAAATTTGACCGAAAATATTTGCTAAGTACATTCTGAATAGATAAAACGCCGGAGGTCAACTTTTTGTCATTAAATCGATCCTTAAAAGTGGTCAAACCATTATATTCAATTAAAGTCAGAATCTTCCCTTTTACGAGGGGTTTTTGACTTTCGTGCCATGATGACACTCCCTCCAATTTTCTCGTTTAAAGCATTCTCTTCATTTAGGCCAACCTTACCGGTTTCTTCACCATATTTTTCCACACGTTACACACGTTCAGCTTCCCAATTTCACCTTCCATATACTTAATACGCAAATGTATAATTCTTTTAAACATGTAGGATCGAAGATTTTTAATAATTTAAATACAATCATTCGTCCATGTTCAACAGCCTCCTCCTTCAAAGTCTTACTTAAACGTCACTTTATTCATAAATATACTTCTTGATTTCTATATATCTTTTTAATAAGTTTACCTCATAAATGTACACTGTACATGTAATCTCTCTTTCTCCTTCCCTTCTCTTGGGTGAGTGTGTGTGTAGTGTGTTGGATGTGTCCGCTTGTGATTATTATTAATGTTTTACTTATAATTTGTTAATTTTGTCAAAGGGGCACCAGTCCACAACATCTTGATCTTTTTTGGTTGCCCCTCACGATATGTTAATTTTATATATGTATATGATTATGTCAATATGTTTTATTGCATTACAATACTATTTTCTTTTATATCGTTGAATAAAGATGAGTTGAATTGAATTGAATGAAAACCTTTCCCTCTGCCATCTACTTCCATATTCCATACTCTTTACACAGATTCCTCGTCTTCCCTTCTCAACACATGACCCATCTATCTCAATCAACTTCTCTTAACCCCTTCCACCACAGTTTCTTCCAGACCCAACCTTTCCATGAGCTCACCTGTGATCTTTCTCTCAGACAGTTTCACACCACACATCTTCAATATCATGGCTCTTTCTGTTCTCCTCCAGATACCTTCTTCTACTGTCTTCACATTTCAAAGTTTATGAACCATCTGCCATCGCTGTTCTCACTCAGGCATTACAGACCATAATGCTAAATACAGGGCGTATCATAATAAAGGATATTGAAGTTTAATGACGATTTATAAGAAAACTACTGATTTCATAATCAAGCATTTTATGTCTGTTGTAAAGGACAGAATGTCCTCTTGTTAATGACACCCCGATCATACTACTACTGTCACAGTTGACTGAATAACAAAGCATTGCTGTCCACCATGTGAAAGGTGCACTGTGCCAAGTTTGATAACATTTCCTTCTTAGACACATAATCCACTCATTGTTCAGCATTTCAATATGTCTGGGCTGACACAAGCACTAATCTTTAGAATTTATCTGTGAATGCTAACTTGTCACAGTGCACCTTTCACGTGGTGGACAGCAATGCTTTGTTATTCAGTCAACTGTGACAGTAGTAGTATGGTCGGGGTGTCATTAACAAGAGGACATTCTGTCCTTTACAACAGACATAAAATGCTTGATTATGAAATCAGTAGTTTTCTTATAAATCGTCATTAAACTTCAATATCCTTTATTATGATACGCCCTGTATATTACTCATTGCGGATATAGTATCTAGAATAATATCGCTAGTGATATTCGTTTGTCTCGCAATGTATGGTCAACAAGTAGAGTATAAAAGACGCTTGCTTACAATATCTTTTATCACCTGACGAAGTGTTGCAGCGGCGCTCGAAACGTCGTGATCTCTTAGATCCCTTGCGAGACAAACGAATATCGATATTATATATCTTGCCTTTTATTCTCATCGTAAACCTTCTACCAGCATGGATCAGGGCCAGGTCATTAAACTTTATCCACCCAAATTTGCATCATCTTGCCACTGTAATCTCACATGCTCCACCACTGTTGATTGTAATCCCAAGATGGCGAAACCTATCAACCTTTTCAAAATCTCTCGTATCCCTTTAAATCAACAAAACCATGACAAAACTAACATCATTCTGATTTCTAATACGATTCATGAAGTAACAAACAAGCTTTCTCATGATTTAGTATGCGGTAATGTTATTTTCGACCCCTTGGCTTGGTATGCATTGGCACAGATATTTCAATCACGTTATCATGTGAGTCGTTATTTATATAGTTTGTGTTTGGTATATTAATGCACAACATCATTGTTCAATTTTGTGATAGCCTTGTCGTAGTAGACAACCCATGCTACATGAAATCATCATTATGGTACCATGTGTTTATTTTCGTGTCTGGCAGATATCAAGAACCTGATGCCACCGGATACGAAATACATCACAATCATCCGGAAGTCATCGGATCAGTTCCGGAGCATGTATACCTACTTTGTCATGGAAAACACTTACAAGGCTACGCTGGAGCAATACTCGCTCAACCCCGAGTTCTTCTACCAAAAATACGGCTCGGGAAAATACAAACGACACAACGGTCGGGACCCAACACTCTTTGATCTTGGGATGGAGCGAAGCTTCAGCGATAACCCGAAACAGGTCCTGGACTACATCGAGTTCCTGGACTCCAAGTTCCATTTGGTCCTAATCATGGAGTATTTTTACGAGTCGCTGATTCTTCTGAAGGATCTTTTCTGCTGGGATATGCGCAGCCTTGTGCACGTGCATAGCAAGATCAAGATTTCGCTGGACCCACATTCTGCAGTACCGTCTGTGGAGGACGAGAGAGCAGCGGACGATGTGGTGAAGCGTCTTGATTGGTGGAACGCCGGTGACGTCAAACTATACGATCACTTTAATAAGACTCTATGGAAAAAGATCGACGCCTACGGAAGGACGAAAATGGCCGCCGACGTGGCCGAATTGAAAGCCATGTGCGCCAAGGTGAAAGATCAGTGTATGGAAGGGACGAGAATTCGCGAGATTTCACGAGGCTCGTTGAAAGAGACGGGTCTAGCTGAGTATGTTGTAAAGAAAAGTCAGATGAACAACGGCACCTGTAGGCGGCTTGCAATGATTGCCAGGGTATTCTTATCTCATCTTAGAAGGAAACATATAACTAGGTTCCGCCAAGAAAATTCGACGACGACGTAGCGCAATCGCGAATTTTTAAAACTGTTATTTCTGTATTGATTGGTTGAATTTCATCTATGAATCGGTAGACTTCGGATGTGTGACCAAAGTGAAAAATACGGATCTTTGACCATAGTGACGTCGTAGAGTCACGAAGGGTGGAGCGATAAGCTCAGCGGTTGAGCAATGGTCTCATAACCAGGAGGTTCCGGGTTTGAAACCAAGGCAATACGCTAGGGCCCTTTGGTAAGGCGTTGATGCCTACCAAGTCCCTCTAAGAGGACGTAAAGCCGTTTGTCTCCTGGTTGATTAATTACAAGCATACAATGCACGTGCTTTTCAAGCTTTCTTAGCAGTCGGGTTAAATGAATTAATCAACCAACCATTCTAACAAAAAGGTGATTTAGTGTTGGTAACGAATTTTTGACAAAGGCCAAAAATTTGGTCACATCGAGTATAGGTAATCCTGAGTACTAATCATAGATTCTTACAAGGATCAATGAATATTTTCTTTGAATATTTAGGAGGCGTTAATGATTTATTCGTGCCAAATGAATTATTCTTATTTCAAATGTGTGATTTCCAAGAAATAAGCTAATGGTTTTAGTAAAGAGGTTTGTGAATTATGGAGGCTGCTTGTCAATACACACATCTGTCTATAATATTGCCGTCAGTTTGTACATGTACCTCCGGCCTTACGAACCGTCTAAAAAGTGACTATAATATCCTAGAGCGATAATATCGTGGGATGTGGGTCTACAACAATGTCCCCATTTGCCTCACTGGTTAGTACGTTAGCCTTATCACGCACGTAATCATGCCATTATTATGTAGAGAAACATTTCCAGATTGCAAGAGTTCTTCATGGTACAATTTCGTAGCGAAAATGTGTAGTAATGGCGAGTTATACCCAGTCACACTGCTGAACTGACTCCGAACCGGCCAATATTTGGCCATCGTGGGTAATGTAACTTTTTGTTCGGTCTGTAGTCAGTCTGGTGTCGGTCTGGTGTCGGTCTGGTGTCGGTCTGGTGTCGGTCTGGTGTCGGTCTGGTGTCGGTCTGGTGTCGGTCTGGTGTCGGTCTGTAGTCAGTCTGGTGTCGGTCTGGTGTCGGTCTGGTGTCGGTCTGGTGTCGGTCGCGTTGGTGTGACTGAGGTATGCGAAAGTGAACGTTCGCAATAAATTTATGGCATTATATTTATATATATTATGTTAAACCGTATCCGGACACCTACTCCCTGGACATCCATCCCCCGGATAAACACCCCAGTCAACTACCCCCTAGGACAACTACCCCTAGGACAACCACCCTGTAGGGCGACTACCCCCAGACAACTACCCCCAGACAACTACCCCCTAGGATAGTTGTCCGGTGGAAGTTGTCCTAGAGGATGGCTGTCGTAGGGGGTAGTTGTCTGGGGGTAGTTGTTCGGGGGGTAGTTTTCCGGGTAGTTGTCCTAGGGGGTAGTTGTCCAGGGGGCAGTTGTCCCGGGGGTAGACGCACTAGAGGGTGGTTGCCTTAGGGGGGACTTGTCCTAGAACCATATTAAATACACTGACTTTGATAAGACTACAATGTATTTTACTGTGTTCTGATGTGTCGGTCGCCCGGGAGGCCAGAATCCCGCACTACCTAGGCATGAATTGCTATGTATTCAGTTATATTACTTTTCCAGTACGATTCTGTCCAGTGTTATACGTAATTTCCAGAGATTATTGTATTATATTGTATGTATTAATGTATATCTTTTTTTATATTATCGTTGCAATTATCTTATGATTGATTAAATGACAGACATTTAAATCTCACAATCAAAGGCCTATTTGCAATTTCTTTCGATTCAGTCTGAATCATTTCTTGGGGGGGGGGGGGGGGGTCGTTCCTGTAATCCTATTCATCCCACTCACGTTATCCATTTGCACCATTTACCCCTTGGCTTTCCATAGGGTGGTAAGGCGAAGCTTGGATTCGAACCTTCAGCTCGTCGATTTAAAGGGGAAGTCCACCCTGGTATTAAGTTGGTTTTAATATAAGCAGAAAACGGGGGGGGGGGGGGGGCTGGGGGGGGGGACAGGTCAGTGAAATTTTCAGCATGATCCGATTAAAAAAAAGTGAGTTATGAATTTTTGAATTTGTCGTCAATGGCAAGGTTGACATGCATGTACGCCATAAAAGACGCCACCATCATTACCATCATTTTACAGGTGCCGGAACCCCTCTCCTACTCTGAGAAAATGTTGAAAATTGTTATCATTTTGATAGCTTTATAACTACTTCTTTACTTCTCTGATACAAAAACACATGCATTATTTTGTTGACATTTTGCATTTTGGTTTATTTTCCATAATAATTGCTCTTATCCTATCTATCCGACGCTGCTGATCAGTTTTTATATATATCGAAAGCAAATGAATCATTTATATAAATTGTCGCGCCAGGAACGGGTCCTCTGCGAATTCTTGATAAATTATCAGTACTTGTAAACAGAAATATCTAATAACAATCCCCCAAAAAAGTAATTTTCATAGAAAATTGATCATTTGCTTATCCTTCGCAATATGACGGCTCCACTTTTACCATAAATAGAAAATATCTTACAAGCCATACAATGAATAATTCACAATTTTTGATAGGAGTCGGGATTTAAATAAGACAGAAATGATTTATGATTCAGAACAGGAAATTGGAATATGATCTTGGTGAATATTAATTGACAAATATCTAAAGATACAAATTATCTTTGAACCTCGTAGAGAAGGGAGGTGGTCTTCAGTTTGAAGTGAGAAAATAATATCGTCTTTAGTACCACACTATGAATAATTCACCCCTTTTAAAAATTAGAGTCGCTATTTTAATAAGACAAGTATTATTCATGATTAAGAAAAAGAAATCGGATAATAATCTAGGTGAAGTTTGACATAATATATCTCTGAACCTGTATTCTTTTAAAGTGACAGGTGCGATTTAGAAAACCAGCGCTGTTTTCCCTCCTCTCTTTCTCCCTCTTTCCTAGTCACTCTCTTCCCTTCTCATCTTATGCCCTAGATGCGGGAGAGAGCTGCAAGCAAATCAAGCCTCAACTCCGCTATAGCCCTCGTATATCTGACTCATGTCTAAAGGCCCACTGTACTACTTGTAGCTACTTGCTCCCTCTATATAGAAAACAATGCCTAATCGGTGACCATTCGTCCCCCGTGATCCTCATTTTCAAATGTCAATTGAGAGCTGATTTGATGAGATAACCACCTGTCAGTGACCTTGCATGGAGGTGTAATCCCTCCTGGCCAAACTAGTGCAGAGGGGCTTTAATTTACTACATTGTCATCCGAGGTCATTTCGTCCTCGATTCGTCCTCGATATCAATATGAATATACTAGAAGACTCCCGGCCAAACTAGTGCAGATGGGCTTTTAAATATGAAGGCCTTACAAATTACCAAGCAGTGACCGTGTGAGTTCCATGAATGCAAATGATTTCAAAATAGGTATGTCCTACAGACTCTGTTTGAATTGCTATACCGTGGGTGATGATTTTAATTGAGGAGGGAGTCTGTTCCAGAGTTTGAAAGCAGAGGCGAATGAGTTGCATCGCCACCTATTTTAAAGATACTATGTCCCTTTTGCAGCCAACATCAAATTCTGTAGAACTTTGCAGGAATTATGAATATGTCATGTATGTCCTATCTGTGAAGTTTACACGTTAGCAGTGTCCTACTATTCAAATTATGCAAGGAAACCCGTTTACTTGCTAGACTTCACTGTCAGACAATATTGAGTGACTGACTGGCTTTTTTCTTCTTTGGTAATAACATACATAAAATGAGCTGTGAAGGGTACATGAGCATTTGTCTACATCAATAACCCACTTCTTGTAATGGCCAGAATTAAACTGATTGAATCTTTGCGCAGCATAAAACGTACGACCATTCGGTACAAGGGTCTGAAAATCAGACTATTGCTTACTGGCTCTATAGCTCTTAAATCGATTCGAGAACTAATAGTCGTTATTTTCCCACTTAAAGACATTTTCAAGCCCCCCTTTTTTAGGGAAGTTCTAAATTAGTATTATCTTTCAAATGCCGTTGGAATTTAACCTTTTCATTTTTTGGCCTGCAAATGGAACATAGTACCTTTAAAAAAAATATTTAAAAAAATAATTAAAAAAATATTATTAACATTAAATACATCCATTTAGTGTCCTCAGATCTACTGAAATAGAATGGGGCAGCTACAAGGTTACATTGCTGGATGTGCCCTAATTGAAGTGTTGAAAAGAAATGAAAACAGACGATAATGGGAGAGAGACAGCGACAGAGACAATGAAAGGGAAGACGTGGAAAAGAAGATGACACGACAACGAGAAAACAAAAATAAATTCATCTGATTGCCGTGTGCTCTTAGACTGCATCCACCTATAGAGTACGACCGGTGTCCAAATGAAAAGGGCTACGCTACTCTTAAAGGTAATACAAAGTTTTGGGAAATTTTGAAAATTGGGTGGATAGAGATTTTGTACAATTTTGATATATGTGGATGCCCCTGTGGATGTATTATAAACACTAAAAAATTTAGCCTCTAAATCACTTCTGTTTTCGAGAAAAATTATTTTGATAAATTTCAAATAGCCGTATAATGGTAGCTGCGACCATGAAATTCTCAGAATAGCAGTTTTGATGTAGTTTTGATATATAAATTCCAAACGGAAATAGCCAGTCGGTCGATTTTAGTCAAGAAATATTGTTTTATAGCTTAATTAATATCTTGACCTTGAGAGGGAGCTATACAACATAAACAGTTTATTATTTACAATTCCATAACTTTAGACTCGATTTCAACCGCGACAACGATCACTGAATATTGTAGGATCGCATATGCTTCCAATATGTTCAATTGAACCAAATTCATGACCCCATACCATAACTTTGTATTACCTTTGAAATACAACCTCAAACCTGAATTTCAAAACTGTCAACCGCCATCGATAATTATCTCTTTCGTATCATGTTTTAATTTACTACATTGTCATCCGAGGTCATATTTTCCTCGATAAAGATATGAATATTGAATACTTATGAGAATGAAAAGGCAAAATTATTTAGTTGTGTGATCGCCTAAATAGTTTTATCTCGCTTTCGTTAGATTTCTTTTGTTCTCAGTGATAATTATCTCTTTCGTATTATGTTACATTGTCATCCGAGGTCACATTATCCTCGATAAAGATATGAATATTGAAGACTTATTAAAATCCGCATCACCCCACTTTCATGTAGCTTATACGTAATAGACTATAGTTAATGTAAGAAAGCTTAGATGTTTTACCCTCGCCCAACCCTCGCCCAAAAATTGATCATACGTTTCTTCACTTTACTTGCTAAAACCAATCGACCATCTTCGCCATATACCATACATTTGGCAATGCCGCCGTTAAGTTTAAGCAAGCTTTTAAGGAATTTTCTACGAAATATTTCAATACAGTCTAAATTCTGAAAACCCCATACTTCACTTCCATATAATAAAATCGGGACAACTAACTGATCAAAAAGTTCACACTGAATATCAAGAGGTAAGCACAACTTCTTTGCCTTGCAAGTCAAATTGAACATGGCTCTTCTGGCTTGATTAACCTGTTTGCTTATAGCAAACAGTGGTGGGTAGCATGTTATCTCCAGGCAGTGCTTGTCCCAGTAGCTTCTTGAAAGGAATGTTCTACTAATGTTACCGTTAGTGGCCACTAAGGCCCATTAGTGACTATAAAAAGTATATGCTCTTCCTGGCTATTTGGGAATGTGTCAGTTTGCAACGTAAATGGAGAAACGCGCATTTTGTTGAAAATCATGTGGTATCACTTGTATGGAATTGAAAATACAGTGTAAGTCATGGTTTAATGTTATTAAGGGGGTGGGGAGGGGGGGGGGGGGGGGGGGGGGGCTAGCGCCCCCAAAGCTCACCCCCCCCCCCTCAGTACGCCAGTGCTTATCAAAATAAAAAGGCAAATTTATTTAGTTGTGTGATCGCCTAAATAGTTATATCTCGCTTTCGTTAGATTTTTTAATTCTAAGCGATAATTATCTCTTTCATATATATGTTTTAAAGCCCCTTCTGCACTACCTAATCAGTGACCATTGGTCCCCCATGATCCTCATTTTCATATGTCAATTGAGAGCTGATTTGATGAGATAACCACCTGTCAGTGACCTTGCATGGAGGTCTAATCCCTCCTGGCCAAACTAGTGGAGAGGGGCTTTAATTTACTACATTGTCATCCGAGGTCATTTCGTCCTCGATATCGATATGAATATACTAAGAAGACTTTTCAGATTGAAGAAGAAAATT